CGCCTGCGGCTCGAGATTGTAATTCCCATACAACACGGCCGCTCATGTTGTAAACTATACTGAAAAGATTGTATTTGAAGACTAAGTTGTGATATTTCATGTATATTAGGGTGTGTTTACAGATGATAAATGTGTGTTTAATATAAATATTTCAGAATTAGAGTCATTTTCATCCGTCTATGAAACAATTACTACTATTCAGTGTTTAATAGTACTAGTGTAGTAGGCTACCAAAAGACAAAATTAAAACCGTGTTTGCCTAATTAGTTTGTCGCATGTCATAAGTTAAACTATTGGGAGCTAATAGGGGGTAATAGTATTTTTAAATTAAAATAGTACAATTCCTATTTCACAGACAGATGGAAATGACTCTATGTTAGTAAAGTAAACACACTAAGGCAAGACAAAGTAATAATCAGATAGCACAAATAAGTGCTAAATTAATAGTGAAGATTGGACAATAAAAAGACAAAGTAATTTGCATAGTTCAGTACAATTTAGCACTATTTAGTTTACAGTTTTAGTGTTTGCAATCTGAAACCATGAAAACTATTGAATAGTATTAAATTTTATGGAAGTACATGAGTTCCTTTGTTTTCCATTGATTTTATTTTATTTTTCATGATTTTATTTTAATTGTAAATTATGATTTTCAAGGGAAAATGTATAAAACTTTCAAATCAACTCATGATTATTTTAAAATAGTATTTAAGTCAGTAAGCATTCACTGCTCAAATACGTAGTTCAGGTATGAACTTTGCAAAGTTTTTGTTTACTTTGCACTCTTGGCATGTTTGCTTTACAAGCTTGAATATATCTGAAGAACAAATAAAACAGCAATTCTCGGAACTTGACTTTGATAGACCGCAGACACAAAATTCATCATTATCTAGGCAGTATGGAGGAATGTATGTGTCCTTGGTAGATTCTTCTTGATTTGCATCATCCTTAGACTTAGATGTGGACATTAATTTCTTCAATACTTGCTTATGATCCTTTTCCTTTAACCATATAAGCTCCATAAACTCGTGCTTAAAAATCTGCCACCATCTAAGACGCTTACCCTTGGTTGTATTCTTAGCATAGCATGCAAGTTTTGCATGTTTGGCTTCTCTGCCTTGCATGCTATTCAATCCCAAACCAAAACCAAGATCATTAAACAGCTCAGTTGTATAATATGGTATGGCCTTACCGATTTTCCATGTGGTAGGTTTCACTGTGTGTAGGAGAATGGCTTGACAGTTGTAGTATTGTTCACATTCTTTTTTAAGAGAAGTGATATCAGTATCATTGATGTGGACCCTGGTGAATAGGGAAACACTGTTCCTCAGACATAGGCCAGCATATGCTAGGCTGTAGAGATGGAGTGATGTACTAGAGGGTATACCTGCAAAAATAGTAGATTAAAAACAATTATATGTGCATACAATACGTTGCACTATTTTGTAAGTTAAATAGTGCTAGCCAAACAATAGAAAACTATAGAATTAGCACAATTTAGCAGTATTTGTATTCATATTGCACATCTTATATGTCTGTACTCTTTATGTTATTGATTTCCAAATAAAGCTTTACTAACATTGTAATTTATTTTTTTTTAATTAAAAAAATATATATATAAATCATTTTCAATTACCTTTAGTAACAATCAGAGCTTTACAAATCTTCATAAAATGCCAACAGAGCAGCTTAGATTCTTTACCGGTAAATCTGTAGGAAAAATCTTCCGATTTTTTATTCTCACTAAACCATTTCACCACATTCTTGTGTAGTCTAGTAGCCTTTATGTCCTTTAACCAATTAATGCATTTGGCCATTGGTGTAGTACTTGCCAGGTCATTGATATTTCCATTTGCTTTGTCAATGTCTTCTTTTCTAGTTAGATGCATGGCTGTATTTAGTACATTAGTGTAAGACATTCTCTTTGTTACTCTTACTATATAAACTCACACTATACCTAGTTTTCTCTCTCTTTACTCCGACGAAGGATTAACATCCGAAACGTCAGTAAGTTTTTCCACATACTTTTTTACGGTGTTAAATTTATCTTTTTACATAACTGTTTCTTTAGAAACACCGACGCAGCTCACCCTAGTTTACCGCTAGTTCCCACCATTGTTTAAGGCAAGTTTTATACCAAAATAAAGCTCTCTTTACGACGATTTCTAATTTGCCGCCATTTTTGTTCGACATTTTCTCCCTTGTAGGGGAGGGACAGTCAAAAAGTGGCATATTTTGATATTTGATGCAGAACTTGTAAACGAGCTCGCGCCAGTCTCCTTTTTGGCTGAATAAAATGAGACATTTTTAACCACAGCCAGCCCGACGTGAAATGGAGAAACGGCCTGTACAAACTTGAAAGCTTTGTAATAAAGAGAAGTTTAAAGCCCGAGAACTTTGGAAGACCGATCCAGATACAGATCCATAACTTTGCAGATGCAAGCCTTACTGGATATGGAGAAGTTTCGTATCTAAGACAAGTAAACGAAAATGGAGACTTCCATTGCGCTTTCATCATGGGCAAGTCTCGACTAGTACCACTAAAGGCAGTAACGATACCACGTCTAGAATTAACCACAGCTGTCTTAGCAGTACGCATCGGAGCCATGCTGTACAGAGAATTAGATGTCAACATCGATGATAGCACTTACTGGACAGATAGTACTACAGTCCTGAAATATCTGAACAACGCCCAAAATCGATACCAAGATCTTCGTTGCCAATCGAGTGCAGGCAATCCTTGCCACCTCAACCGTAGAACAATAGAGATACGTGGAAGGAAGTTGTAACCCGGCAGACGATGCCTCCAGGGGATTAGAGCCCACTGACCTGGACAAGCGATGGATTACAGGTCCTTAAATTCTTATGGAAGGCCGAAAGTACGTGGCCAAGGAATGCTGTCGACGTCAAAGTGTGCAAGGAAGATCCAGATGTGCAAGAAATAGTCTGTCTCAACAGTAGAGTGAACGGCAMCATCGATGTAAACAGAGATTTTCTTCAARGATTTTCTTATTTCTCTAATTGGTATCGTCTGAAGAGAGCCATTGCATTAGTCCTGAAACTGCAATCAAAGTATCGCAAGAATAGCAACGAGCAGAATAAAGACAACGGTCAATGTAAGATAACAGAAGAAGACTTGACTAAAGCGGAGAAAGTCATCATTAAAGTAGCCCAAAAATCCACCTTCGCAGAAGAGATTGCAACGCTAGAAAGACTAAA